AACAAACATCCAAACAAACAAACAAACGCGAAGCTGAGTTAAGAAAAACGTGTTAAAAACTAGGTGTAAACATACACAGTGCAGTTGTTTCTATAATAACGCCAGTTTTAGAATCACATCATTATTTTAATTATTTTAAATCTTATCTCTATTAGGTTCAACATTCATTATTTAAAACTTTGAACTGTCCTCTATATTAGTGTTACCTGTGATTTGGTTTAACAGAAATGCAGAATATATACAAAGAAAGACATATAAGGGGCTGATTTGGATATAGTAAAAATTCGTTTTCTACAACCTCAAATTACAAGTCAACGGACATGGCAATGGTTTTTTTTTAAAATAATTACTTTTGTTTATCCAAAATAAATAAAAAACACAGTTGTTATTCCTTAATCAACAACAAAAATTAATTTGAAAATCATTAAAACAAATTTTGAAAGATGATTTCGATATCGCATCACTAGCTATGGAAAAACGCTATTACTTTATCAACACCAAGAACAAAAACACGAAGCTGTATAGTCACTGAAACTAATTTTAAGAATGGCGTCGATATAACTTAACTACCAAAGGCAGAAATGAAAAGGCAATATTATCTAACCAGCAAGAAAAAAATGGGACCGAGCCATTACTTAAGTGCTGAATACCACGAAATGGGAGGCCTTAGTGCGAGTCTCCGCTTGCAGACGATGAAGCAAGCAGGAGATTACGTCCTGGCGATATCGATACCGCCCTTCTAATTGAATGAAGTGCATGCGCTGGATTAGAGTGGGGACCCACCATCAAAGCTCGGAAGATCTCAAATCCCTCTCGTCTAAGAGATAAGAATCTCCCGGAGAAAAATATGTCGCAGAAGACAAACGCTGCCAGAATTTTTCCATCTACCCAGTAGCCAGCCTGCCGCTCGGATTTCAGCAGGCTGATTGGACGAAGGATTTCGACAGTTTTCCGCAATGGAAATTCAGTGATCGATAGTCCAGGGCCGGGATCTAGCCCGGCCGGCTATATCAACATCGGTTTTCGGTCAATTTTCCCGACCCCCTCTCCATTACTAACTAAGAAAACACCGAAATTCTTGCTCATAATTCGTCCCTTCTACACCGTAGTCTTCGTGCTTAAGCATTGGTCAGTTCTAGTCTGGACAGAGGAGTTTCTGTCGTTTCTAGAATCTTCTGGTGGTGCATTGGGATTAGGTCTACATTGCTTCTACCCTAGATCTATATTTTATACCTCAGTAAAAGTTAAAAGATAGAGAATCGAAAGTTTGAATGAGTAAAGACTAATTTAAAATGGCTAAATCCAAAATTTGATAGAGACGAGTTTAAAGTAAGTCAAACAAAACTTTGACATACTAAAGACACATTTGAACCAAAGAAAGCCAAATTTTGACTTAGTGAAGACACATTTGAACCGAATAAAGCCAAATTTTGACTTAGTATAGACACATTTGAACCGAATGAAGCCAAATTTTGACTAAATAAAGACACATTTCAACCAAATATAGCCAAATTTAACAAAGTAAAGACAGGTTTAAAATTAATAAAGTCAAACTTTGACAGAGTAATGGCACATCTGAACCGAATAAAGCCAAATTTTAACATATTAAAGACCCGTTTGAACTGAATAAAGCCAATTTTGACAGAGTAAAGGCAAGTTTAAAATGAATCAAGCCAAATTTCGACTTAGTAAAGACACATTTGAACTGAATAAAGCCAAACTTTGAGTGAGAAGCCAAAGTTTGAATGGACCAAGAAAACATTGACCAAGTCAACCCAACTATTGATCGGACCAAACCCAAACAAGAAAACGTTTACATGGGTCACCAGTAAATGCGACAGGTCAAACACACTTCTCATGACCTCTGACCTTCAAATCTACAAATCTAGTTGCTCGCGAAAAGCTGTAGGTCTTTACAAATAAGACCATCAAATCGCGTCCATCAGGGATAAGTTAACATGCGGTAAATTGATGCCAATTGGTTGTTCGTCTTTGGCATCAACGACGTTTTGCCTACGACTTAAGTTTGAGCTATAAATAACTTTAGTTATTTTTAAAGATGTCGTCCAGAAGAATACGTTGTTACCGTTATTGAATTAAGTCTAGAGTTGAACAACTTTAGTGATTTCTTTTAGCTAGTCCACGTTTTGAAAAAAATATCACTATTAATAGAAATTTACCATAATAAATATTTTAGTATAAAATTAAATGGTTTATTCGCGTAAAACTAAATGGTGTTGTACTGTCAAATTAAATGCTGTTATAGTTTATTAAATTAAAATGTGTTTTCTTGTGAAATAAAACGTGAACGTAGAATTAAGTATTTAAATGTAAAGTTAAATAATGTCTGAATGAAAAATTAAATTGTTTTTTTCTTGTAACTGTTGATTTGGTGTAAATTAAACTTTTATTATAAAATGGGGTTTTAATGTAAGTGAATGGTCTTTTAATGGAAATTAAATGATTTTTAATAAATGTAAAATTAAATATTACTTTTTAAAATGAAAAATCAAACAATTTTTCAATATAAAATTTAACGGTGCTTTAGCACAAAATAAAATGAAATTTGCATTACCATTAAATAGTGTAAAAATAATGAGAGAAACACGCGGCTTATTTAAAACAACACAAAAACATTGAATTAAATACTTTTTAAAATAGTATTAAGTTTTTGAAAACATGTTTCTCTAATCTATTTTCTCTTTGGACAAAAAAAAAATGACAATTTTTGTCCATCTGAAATAAAGTGTTTGTAAACTGCTTTAATTTCATTAAAATCGTGTCTCAATTTTTCACTATCTCCTGTCCTGCTATTCTGCTAGGCCGCGTCATTTCTGCGGCAAAATATTTCTAAGGTTGGCCAGGACATGTTCAGTACACCAGTCTAGGAGACCGGTGCAAAAACATTTAGTTTTAAAATGTTTGGGCTTTTAATAAGCTTAAAAAATATTTGTTTTAATATACGTGTTGTGCGTACTTTTAGTTAACAACACCTACACCTATGTATGTGGGGAGGGTGGGGGGTGGGCGAGAAGGGAAACAGCTTAAACAGCTTATTAAGATTTTGATTTTTAGTAATGTCTATTACATACCCTTGCTCGCATTAATTTAATTAACAAAGTTAATTACCGACCTATTAATTAAAATAGTTTCTGGCCTGTCCTAGGCACCATGCGTTCATTTAAAAAGTTAGTAACTGACCTGTCCAAGTTGCCTTAATTAAATTAAATTTAAATTAAATTAACCAAATATAATTAAAGTAATGACTAACCTGCCCACGGCACCATGAGTACCTGCTCTCTTATGTCCTCTTGCATGACGGCTAATGACGAGCAACTGACAAGTGGTTGATTTTACCAGAATGATGAAACGATTTCTCCTTTGATGGTTATCTCCCCTCTCCAAAAAAGCAAGAAGAGTTCACTCCCGCAATCGATAGCAATCTATAGGGGCGTTTAGACGTGGGACTCGGGACATAAGCTGTTGGGGCAAGCAACAGACTTGCTGCGTCAATATTCTCTCCCTTTGCAAAAGACTGTATTTGGTCCGGGGCTTTGGAGGCAAGGTCCTCGCGACCGTTTTTCTGGTCGTGATAGAAAGCGGACTGAATATATTGGAGCGTGCAGTCAATTCCCAACTTTACATAGAAATTAACTAAATTGCTTCCCAAATAAAGCTCGCCTTCACTCCGGCAGCAGCCTGTCTGTTTGAGCAATACATTTTCTGGCTCTGTCGGGATCCAGCTAGGGTCTTGGGATCCCTGGCAATTAGTCACATTAAAAGTTATTTTTATCCCAGAGTAACGGCTTGACCTACACATCTACGTCCGGTGTATGTCAAGGCATTCATTTCAAATCAAACGGTACACACTGCTTGAAATAATTGAATTAATGATTTAATTAACACTTCACGGAAAACACAGGTTTTGATAAACTTATTTACATAACCAACAACACGTATTACACTGTGGGTCAGAATAGAAATCCGAAATCCACACGTTAAGAATACAGCTGCCCTGTTGAAACACGGCAACACACACGTACAACACACCCGTATAACACACCAATAGAACACACCTATCCAACATACCAATAGAACACACCTATCCAACACACCAATAGAACACACCTATGCAACACACTCATAAAACTGAGTCCACTTGTGATGTGTTGCCAACAGATAGCAAGATATCAGGCTACCAACAAGCGACAATTTGGTCAAGTTTTAAAAACAACAAGAAGGACAATCAGTCGGCCTAAAACAATTAAAGATAATGCAGGACATCAAAGGCTCTGTCTGCTAATGGTTTAACCGCCGTATCACTACATTTGCCTACCAATCAACCCGTTGATAAATGTGTATTAACCCATAGCAAAGTGCGATAAACCGTTATCCACCAATCAAATCGCGCGATAAATTTGTATTATCCAATAGCGATGCAAGTTACAAAAGTATTAGTTTTCTTTTATTAAAACATCAAATGATTGACTTATCAGTTCTTGTGCGCCATTAACAGCTCGGGCCATTCAATCATGGCCATCTCTGGCCATCAGGAGCAGACCACCCGTGCACGAGCGGGCCGAGACAAACAAGAGTTACCCCGCGATGCACTCACTCCGAGCGAGTGTACATAAAAAGCAATTATTTGAAATGGTATGAAAAAACAAAACGCTTTCGATCATCCTCGGCTCGGCACGATCCAGGTCCACCAATCGAAGTTAGAATCAAACAGGGAAATTATACTCGCGGTCTAACGCCGGTCTAACGCCGGTCGATAGCCGGTTAATGGTTGTAGTGCAATTTAAGACACTTCCCGATACAGGCATAGCGAGCGTGATCTACCATTTTCTGCTCACACGCCAGACACCACGCAGACATGATTTGATGAGACATTATTTCTACTGTTAACGAAGCGACATTCTATTTCAAGAATTAGCCCATGTTTTTTCATGATGATAAAACTTAAGATTTGAAAATTACAGTTATGAATTATAAACTGAAACTATAAATTTGTTCAAAGGATGGTAAATTTTAGCGCGTTTTCGAAAACTAAAAAAAAATCTATTTTTGGTTAAAAATAATTAAAAACGAGTGAAAATAAGTTTTCTTAAAAACAAAAACAACAAAGCAATTGAATACAAATAAAACGAACTCTGGAACTATGTGCTCAGGTGTGAAAATAAATTGCAGTAACTTATGAAAAATTAAAAAAAAATTAAAAAATAAAATAATAAAAAAACAGAAAAACAATCAGCCCACTGTTGTAGCTTTGAGTCTATGGAGATGAAAGTCACGGTGCATGTTGTTATTTAACCAGACGACACGCTCTGGCCAGCCCATTGGTCAACGTGACTAATCAACCAGTCAGTTAACTGTTAACTCGCGTCACCATGGCAACTCAACTCAACCAGCTGCATCTCCATAGCGAATAATTTCCTCGTCTTTAATCGATCTCTGATAAACAAAACCATCGATACGGCTGCTGATAAGCCGATCGATAAAGACATACCGATTGTGCGCTATGGTTAAGAAAGTGCGATTGTTTTATTGATTTTAAGACATTGATCCCCGATAAATTAATGAATGACATAGCAAGGAGTTTGATAATAAAAAAAAACGTTCTGGTCGGCTATCACATGTGATCTTAGATCAAGTATGGGGTGGGGGGGGGGGGGGGTGCAGAAGACATGGAACAAATGTCATCAAACTATAAATAGCCATGTACTACACTCGTCACGTGGACTGGTGCATATATTAAAGGAGCCACGTAGACACTGCCTACCCGTGTAAAGTTACCCTTCGTAGGCAGGTCCTCTATCAATTCACCCCCCCCTGCACACAGTACACCAGCCACAGTGTGGCGGAAGTCATGCTAAAACATGAGCTGAGGTCAAAGGTCACACGATGGAGCAGACAAAACTCAGTGCACAGCTGTGTAATACAGATGGTAACTAATGTATTCACAACGTTTTAGTGTACCCTTATCTTAACAGTTTGAAAAACAAATTAATTATCACACTAGCGTTAATTACATAATTTAATTATCCCATCACGGTTGGACTGGGATACCCACAAACGCTCAGTCTAGTAGCCACAAGGGTGGCTTCCAAAAATAGAATCAATATTTACTGGCGAAATAGTGAATTGAAATAACGATGACGTCATTCCACAAAGGGAACAAAATTTGACCAATCAGAAGTCAAGCTGTGGACACCAAAACCTACAGACGCCATACAAGAGGTGACCTTTGACTTTTCAAGACACAAACACTGACCGTTTCCAGAAGCATTCGGGTGAGGGGTTGGGGGGGCTCATACGATAGATGGTGACTTATTCTGTTGCACCAAGGCAGGTGGTGACACATTCTGCTGAAAGTATGATGAATGAAACAAGACTGAATACGTGTTTCATGGCCTTTGTTTAAGTTTTGAGAAAACAGAGGTTAAAGTTGAATTTCTGAAATTGAATCGATACACTGAGTTGTACAAATGTAGTGGTGACACAGTTTTGTACAAATGTAGAAGTGACACAGTTTTGTACAAATGTAGAGGTGACACAGTTTTGTACAAATGTAGTAGAGACACAGTTTTGTACAAATATAGAAGTGACACAGTTTTGTACAAATATAGAGGTGACACAGTTTTGTACAAATGTAGAGGTGATAGTTTTGTACAAATAAAAAGGTGACACAGTTTTGTACAAATATAGTGGAGACACAGTTTTGTACAAATATAGAGGTGACACAGTTTTGTACAAATATAAAGGTGACACAGTTTTGTACAAATGTAGAGGTGATAGTTTTGTATAAATGTACTGGTGACACAGTTTTGTACAAATATAGTGGAGACACAGTTTTGTACAAATATAGAGGTGACACAGTTTTGTACAAATATAGTGGAGACACAGTTTTGTACAAATATAGAGGTGACACAGTTTTGTACAAATATAAAGGTGACACAGTTTTGTACAAATGTAGAGGTGATAGTTTTGTATAAATGTACTGGTGACACAGTTTTGTACAAATATAGAGGAGACACAGTTTTGTACAAATATAGAGGTGACACAGTTTTGTACAAATATAAAGGTGACACAGTTTTATACAAATGGAGAGGTGATAGTTTTGTATAAATGTACTGGTGACACAATTTGTACAAATATAAAGGTGACACAGTTTTGTACAAAACTAGAGGTAACACATTAATCCTACAATATTACGCGAATACACCTTTGGTTCACAACTGGAGTAACATCTAGCGTCACATTAAGTGCTAGAACTAGCGTCACAACTGGCGTCAAACAGGACTAGATTAATCAGTTATACATTTGTACAAGGCGTTTGCCCAGAGTTATGCCCCCTCAACAAACAATTAATGTTTATCAACACCGATTTTAAAACAAATCACTAAAAACAACGTACCAACTGTCGTTTGAATACAAATCTTCCAGCAAGTTAAGTAGAATCACTCAAATTTAATAACACGTGGACAATTTAAAGACTAAATCTATCACATCTAAACACTAACCGACTCCACATCCACCAAGCGAATCCACCGACAATCCACACTAACCTTTGACTGTACACAATGTGAGACTGGTAGCGTTCAAACGCCAACTGACAAGGTGTACTAAATTTGGGAGATAAGACCCGACTAACTGGGTCAATTTGATTAAAGTTTGGGCAGAAATAGAAGATAATATCCATAACGTTACTGAGACCAGCTATGTGGTCTCGTTAACATTGACACGGCTACAGGTATTGTCATCTGTGTACTGTCATGTGTCAGCTACAGCTAATGACATCTGTAAGTACTGTCATATGTCAGCTACAGATAATGTCATATGTGTACTGTCATGTGTCAGCTACAGCTAATGACATCTGTAAGTACTGTCATATGTCAGCTACAGATAATGTCACATGTGTACTGTCATATGTCAGCTACAGCTAATGACATATGTAAGTACTGTAATGACAGTAGCAGTTAATGTCAGTAGTATGTATTATGGTGGTAAGAGCTATTGTAAGACAATGTGTTTTAGATTCAAGCGATATCGTCCACCACAGCTCCATACATTACATCTGTAGACCCCCCCTCCCCCCCCCCCCATATATGTACCAAGAATTTATAAACCTTCACAATCAAACATACCTCAAATATTCTTTCAACTTCGAAAAATTGGTATTATCTTATTTTATTCTAAAGTCAATCTTCAAGCAGCGAGAAAACTAGTCAAACCAAGTCTTATGCCTACATAGGGCAGCACTTGCGCTTCCCAAACGATTAAATCAAGTCATTCTCAGGTTCAGGCTTGGTGGCTGCATAGCGAGGAACCATCAGACAGCCAACAGTTGATGTAACCTTTATGTAACAAGGAACCATCAGACAGCCAACAGTTGATGTAACCTCTATGTAACAAGGAACCATTAAACAGTCAACCTTTTTGAGGTAACATTATTTATGTGTAACGAGGAACAATCAACTAATTTAGCCGTTTCGATTTTATTTGAGCGTTATTCACGGTAGTTAACAGACGTGTGCAGAGTTTCTTCCAGCATCTCTTGGGGGGGGGGGGGGCCTAAGCCCCCCCGAAAATTGTTTACCGCCCCCCCCCCCCCGAACGAAATGAAATTTATATAATTTATATAGAATATATATACTTTTAACAGTGTCCGCCCCCCCCCCCCCCCGAAGAAAGTCTACCGCCCCCCCCCCCCCCCCGAAAATTTCAAGTGCCCAGCCGGAGAAAAAAGTCTGGAAGAAACACTGGACGTGTGACGGCTGTTTTAACCTTAATCCTAACCCGCAGGTAAAGTAACCCAGGTTAAGTAACCCAGGTAAAGATGTGACCACGATCGTGCAGGAACATTTTTCAGGTAAACTTTACAAAAGGTAATTTTATTGACCTGGCCCATGTGACCAAAAGCGCCATGTTGAAGCATACGATCACCAGATGTTGAACTGAAGCAGACGACAGAATGTTTTAATGTTCAACTCATACCGAAGCAGGCGACAGAATGTTTTAATGTTGAACTCACACTGAAGCAGACGACAGAATATGTTTTCGCGGCAGATGATGAACTCACCCTGAACCAAACGACAGAATGTGCTTCACGGCGAATGTTAATTTGTTTTCTCAGCTTATTGATAACTCGGGCAAAATGTGAATTCGAACTTTGGTTCTGGATTGAATGATTCCATACTTTGTCGGCCTTGTTACTCCAGCTATACCGGCCCAAAGCTCTCCAGATCCAGCCGCCATACCAAGGTTCGTTCCGCTGCGAGTTGTTCACGTTCATTCAAGCAATGCATGCACAGAATAACAAGGTCCAATTTGTGGGACAAATTGGACGCAGTTTCCGTCAAGTAAAAATAAAAGAGGTTAGCGTACGTGTGCCTACTTCATCGTTCCTAGGCTCCAATTAATGGTGGTCTTCGCTGGTTTTATAGTCTACATTAGAGTCTTGGTGGGTTTTCTAGTCTACTTTCTGGTGTTTGTGGGTTAGGGGTCGGTATGTGCATGGGGTCAGTGCTTAAAGGCGTTGGGTTTTGGTGCTTGTAGGTTAGGGGCCAATAACCTGCCCAGAGTAACGAGACATTCCCTGCATTATTTTACTAACAACATGGATCTGCCGACAGACACAGTTTAGTCCGCGAACTTCTTGAACCTTCAGAGACTGCATCAAGTGAAAGGAAAAGATTTTCCATGTCTTAAGAAAAAGATGCATTCATTCATTCAAGAGCCTGCTACGGTCTACGAACCGCAGGGTGCCGACACTTGGCGTAGGTTTTTCAGTCCACATTTTGACGTAGGTTTTCTAGTCTACTTTTTGATTGATGTAGGTTTTCTAGTCTACTTTCTGATTGACGTAGGTTTTTTAGTCTACTTTAGAAAAGATGGGCAAATTTTTGGTAAATTCAAGGTCAGTTTTCTGTAAAGATGACGTTTATTTTTGCTGTGACGTCACATCATCTTCTGCTGCATAGTGCCGATAAAATAAACTAATTCTTCTCCGTCTGTAATTCTAATCTTGTAGGGGATTTCCTCCAAATAGTTAAGTATGAACTGTGAACATGTTATGCGCCATGTGGGCCGTTGACTGATTTTCTGGATGTGTTTCCAAACGCTTTGTCCAGTTTCGGATAATCTGTGCCCTACTAAAGAGCCTCGCATGTTTATGGGTGTGAGTTAGCTGTCCTGAGCTCTCTCCGTTAGCTGATTTGTTGTGATGGTTACAGATCAACTTTTAATTGGTGTGAGTGACCATTAAAAGTGCTCAAATCAAATTTAGTACGGTTTACAGATAAAACGACGATTACTTGTATACGCACTCATCAATATGAAGATAATTATTTGCGAAGCTATTAACATTATTAATATTTCATATTTTTAGACTTTTCAAAAAGTCTTTAAAAAAAACTAGTTTTTCTGAAACTTAGATTTTCTGGTTAGACATTGTTAAAGTACTGAGTTAAAAATACAGCGGCCTAAAATATGACCAATTTGAGAAGTAAACAAAAAAAACAACAAGTAATTAAAAAAAGTCTAGTGACAATTTTAGCGCAATTTCCTTGTGTTATCTAAAAATAGCTCTGTCGTAGCGTAAATCAAGAGCAGGGTTAGTAAAACCATTGGTTAGTTATTAAAACCTTTTTTATTAAAAAATTTTCAGTATTTTACATGTTTTATTTGCAATAGAGTAACATGACTAAAAACCATTGCGCGCCCAGCTACCGAACGTGACGTCGCAGCCATTGAACGTGATGGCGCAGCTATTGAACGTGATGACGCGTGTGGTGTGGTTGCATAAAATGCCTACTAATTCGGTCCAAATTTTAATTAATTCAAAAAAATTTTTGTGACCAAACGAAAGGATATTTTTGAAAACTTTCTTCGGCAAAATTGTTCTAAATTATGGCAGGAATCGATTGGTACATGTTTCAAGTCGCTAAGTTGTCTGGTTGTCGAGATATGGGCTAAAAACTGCTTTTTTTCGAGGTTTTTTGGCTTTTCCGGGAAATCCATGAAAGAAACCCGGAATTTTTATGGCCTATGTTCATCCTCGTAACTTGCTTAACATAATTGCTTTTGGAACTAGTCATCGATATTGCTTCGTTGAGGAGGAGATACGACTTAAAGCTGCGGACACACATCCATCCATCCATCCATCCATTCATTCATACATCCAGAAATGACGGATTAATAAACGCAATTCTCCAGAATGGAAATTGCGTTAAAAAAAACAACCTCTAACATATAGAGAAGCACCAAGAACATTTGGAAGAGAAGATTTCCACAGAAACATCAGACAACAAACACTGTAGACTTCTACAGAAACATCACACAACAAACACTGTAGACTTCTACAGAAACATCAAACAACAAACACTGTAGACTTCTACAGAAACATCAAACAACAAACATTGAAAACTTCCACAGAAACATCTGAAATATTTCCATCATGTTAGCTCTACCCTAACCTAAGAATCAAGGTTGTAAATTTAAATCACCTACGTACCGTCAAGCAGGTAAATAATGTTATCAAGAAACAAATAACTCCTTATAATGTAGCGGCTATGCAAAAGTTAAATCATTTGATAATATTTATGAGTCGTAGTTTTAGAATGTAAATAAACGAATTCTGTTATGACGTAAATCTGCTAGCTACAAAACCAACAAAACCAGATATTTTAACCTCACACATTCTAATGAGAGAAACTAACTATAAACCACATCATCAATTAAACATCGACATAAACTACACCGACTACCGTAAGTTGAAAAATATTCCATGAAAATATCCCACGACTCTCCGTTCGAGACACACATCTTGCAGAGCGTCTTCTTGAAAAGAAAATTTCCTGTGTATTCATTCAGCCACGGTCGGCTATCCCATACCTGAAGCACAGTAAGACAGTTGACTCCTGATAACTGCTAATGGAGCCGAACAAATCGAAATAGTCCATTGTAAGCGCTCTAGTGTGCAAATGTTTGCCTAGAGAACTGGTCATGTTGCCGGCTAAAATCTGGCCATGTTGCATGCTACCAAACAGGCAAGTGGAAAGGTAGAATCCGGCAAGTAAATATTGACGATGGCGAGCCGGCTGTGTGTGTCGTTCCCGAACACGCTTTGGTGTGTTCAGACTTCGAACTTTACACACTTTGATGTGTTCAGATTTTGAACTTTGCACTTTGGTGTGTTCAGATCTTGAACTTTACACACCTTGGTGTGTTCAATATTTAAGCTTAATATAATTTGATGTGTTCAGAATTTGAACTTTACATTTTTTATGTGTTCAGATATTGAATTTTACATACGTTTGAGCTTAACCCACTGATATGTTCAATCTCTGAACTTATCACACATATGTGTTAAGATTTTAAACTTTTCAGGCTGAATCCAAGCGAATCTTAAATGTGATAACTATTTAAGCCTACCACATTTTTGTGTTTCACATTCTTGAATCTATCAAATAGATCGCAATACGCAAAACCTGGTAGGA